AAAGAAAGAAAGAAAGAAAGAAAGAAAGAAAGAAAGAAAGAAAGAAAGAAAGAAAGAAAGAAAGAAAGAAAGAAAGAAAGAAAGAAAGAATTACTATAGGAAATGGGAGTTGGGTAAACAAGGCAAGAATATTTTATAAATGGTTGGTCAGCATTGCACTTGACAATCTCAGTGTGGCAAGATTAAAGATGTTGCCTTGAAAAATTGAACTTTTGAATGTGTTTTATTTGTTAGACAATGAACCCACTGTTCATTAATATTCCTGCTACCACTATCGGTACCGAGGAAATTAGGCTGACAAAAAGTATTTCCCCAAGGGTTCCTTCAACATGGAAATAAATGACCCTATTTTGAACTGGTTTTCTCTGTGGAAAAAAATGTTTTATATGGAGATGCATACAAATTAATGAGCCTACAAGTATGGAGGGCTGTAGCTCAAACTGAGGTATGTCATTTTAATCAGAAGTAGGCCTTTGTATAGCCAAGTGATATGTTTTCTTGCCTTAAACATTTAAATTTGCTCCAAAATATCAGGTCATAGGCTTACAAAAAAAGTTCACTTATGGTGATAGAGAAAACATGGAAGAGGATCCCAGCACCCTAATCTATATTTAAGCCTCAGATCAAAAGAAAGTTTCCCAGAAAAAGAGCTACAGAAGCACTGATGGAGGTACATTGGGACTTGATCCAACAACGTTCATATAAAAATTTCTAGTTTCTGTTCCTGGTTAATATCAAGGTTTCTCCACTCATTATCCCCACCCATCTCTTAATGTTTTGAACTTCAATATTTCTATCTCCCTAAAATCTCCACTCATTTCAGCATACTTTATTCTTCCTTTAAATATCTTTGGTTACTGCATTTCTGAAATGACGTGCAACTATGGATCGAGGGAAGGGAGGATTTCCGCGTGGAAAAATGTAGATTAAAAAGGAGTCTCAAGGAAAGGGTAGTCAGTGTTGAAGTATGGAGGCATTTCAGAAATGTTGCTACTGTTATATAGTCTAATCATACGGAGCACATTCACACGTATACTTTAACACAGGAGCAAGCACCATTTTTAAAATCATTTTTCAACCTCAGCATTTCAGGGATGTGGTTGATTGAGAGAAAGAATACAAGAAGTCAGAGTTTTAAGGTTTTGAAAGGCTTAGCGTGCTTATTTTGAAAATCCTAAAACATCCTAAAAATCCCAATCCCAATCCTAAAATCATGTGGCTGATAGATAAGAAGCTTTTTGTCATTAAATTTCAATGGCATGATCCTAAGACGCTCCAGAATAATAGCAAAATACAGATTTAGGAATAAATAAAGTTCCTGAGATACAGAAAGTTCATCCCTATGTTATCTGTTACGACTTGCAACATATCACCAGACATGTAATCAAAATTTCAGGCGCACACAAAATGCCCGACAATATATCCTACTTTTAAAAAGGTTAATTATTGCTATCAAATTGTTTTGTTCTGGTCTGGTTTTCACATAATATTTCTTCAAAGGCACCAGCTGACAAAAACTTAGGTTCGAACAAGTTCATTTTGGCTGTGGTGCTTTCTGGCAGTGTTAGAAACAATGAACACCTCCTATATAACTTTAAAAGAATTCTCCAGTGTGTGTGTTTGTGTATACATGTATGTACATAATATCCTGCCTTTTAAATGAGGTAATGTTCATTCCACTGAATATAACGAGAAAGCTATTGAAAGTGTGTTCACGGAGTCAAGGAATTCTTTTGATTCTGCCTGGCGTGTCTCTGTGTACAAAGTCTTTGAGCAAGGAAATCTCCAAATGACTAGATCTTGATATATTGTTGCAAAGACTGTTTCACAGGAGGTGAAATTTGTCATTTTTCACCAAAAACACGAGTTAGCTCCTTTTCTCTTTGATGTTGTTGCTTCGTAGATAAGTCTTCCGTTCAGTATAAAGGTATTGAACAATGAAGTAGGCACCTAAACCCAGACCACAGCATGTTTGAAACATAAAAAGAAAAAAAGAAACATATAAATTACACAATAGCATTACCCTTTATCAAATAATAGTCTGTCTCCCAAATTCTCATGCCTTAAACGTGTTCAAATTTATTTTAAAATGAATTTATTTATTTAGCCTACAGCAACTTATATTTTAGAACTAATTTAGCACATTTTTCTGATTCAGTAGCCAGTCCCCCAATATTCTTTGTTTCCTATTGTTTAATATTTCCAAAAAAACTGAAACTTGTACTGGGGCTACTACCAAAATGAAGAAGCAAATTAAGCTCACAATTACTTGAAATGGTGTTAGGAAAATCAGCATCAGACCAGGACAAGGGTTGTCCTCATTCTTTTTGATCATTCAGATATGTTAAGCCAGGGGTGTCAAACTGGCAGCCCACGGCCTGGATGCATCATGCACAGGCCACACCCACCCCAGCTCCACGAAGGCAAATGTCGCAACATGTCACATGACATCAGCGAGTTTGACACCCGTGTGTTAGGCAATATTAATTTGTGTTCTGAACAGTAGATATATAAGTGTACATATATCCAAATAACCGAACACACAAAATAGCAATAGCAATAACACTTATATACCACTTCATAATGTTTTACAGCCCTCTAAGCCAGAGGTGGTATTCAGCAGGTTCTGACCAGTTCTGGAGAACCAGTAGCAGAAATTTTGAGTAGTTTGGAGAACTGGCAAATACCATCCCTGACTGGACCCGTCCCCATCTATTCTATGCCTCCCGGGTCCCAGCTGATCGGCTGGGTCTTGTTTTGTTGCCCTGCACAGGAGAACGGAGCTGGAGAGCAGGTTAGTGGGGTGGGGAGGGAATGGAGATTTTACAGTATCCTTTCCCTGCCACACCCATCAAGCCATGCCCACCAAATCACACCATGCCCACCAAGCCATGCCCACAGAACAGTTAGTAAAAAAAATTGAATCCCATTACTGCTCTAAGCGATTTACAGAGTCAGCATATTGCCCCCAACAATCTGGTGTTTCGTTTTATCGACCTCAGAAGGATGGAAGGCTGAGTCAGTCAGAATCGAACTTCTGGCAGTCAGCAGAATTAGCCTGCAATACTGCATTCTAACCCCAGCACCACCACGGCTCCTGATAGAGTAGCCCACTTCTGACAATTAAAACATGTATTGTCATTTAAATCATTTAAAGAAATAGGCATGATTATTTCCATTTGGGATTCAGTATCTGTGGGAAAACACACTATGGCTAATGAGAGCTTTGCATTAATATATACTGTACCCATCTGTTTATAGCTGTTTCAGACTTTGTATATAGTTTGACCAGGAATCTGATGTAACTGTGCTGGATACCTCTATACTTTACACTGGTATAATGAGAGAGCGGAGGCTTGTGCGAATAAAGAACTTCCTATACCAATCAGCCCCCCAGGAGGAATGGGAGTGTATTACCCAATTCTGCCAATGCATTACAGTGTATTGTTGTATTTGCCAAGAAATAAAAGGACTTACCCCCAAATAATATTGCCATGTACATTTTCAGTACATAGGGAAAGTAAATAGTTAGATCAAATGGAAAGGATATTCGGGTGGAGTAAGTGCCTGAGGCTTCAAAGTGAGGCAATGATTCATATATGGCAAATGCTGGGGGACAAAAGAAAAAGAAAAATCAGCCAAGTGAAAAATTCCAAATGGGTAAAAATGTCTCATTTCTGCATAATACATTCAATTCATATGGATATAGGTTAGGTTCAGGCTTCAGCCAGGACTAAAGATTCACAATTAGAAGTTTTCATCATTAGATTGGATCCCAATTTCCATCAGCCTTATACAATATAGGCAATAGCTTCCAGTGCTGGGAGCTGTGGTTCAGCACATCTGGAAGAGCACAAGTCTTACCCGAGGGGTGTCCAACCTTGGCAACTTTAAGACTTGTGGACTTCAACTCCCAGAATTCCCCAGCCACCATGAAGTTGAAGTTCACAAGTCTCAAAGTTGCCAAGGTTAGAGGCTCCTGTTCCACTTTAAAAAAAACTGAAGCTGATTTGAAGGAGTACTCCAGTGACACACACACACACACACACACACAAAACATATCCCATGTTGTTTCAGAGAAATCATTTTTCCAAGAGGTAGCATCACAGAAAAAAAGTTACCAACTTTTGGAACCATTCTTGCTGAACAATATTTGCCTTGCGAAGCATGTGACTCCTTATTGGAAATATTTTCTTATGGAGGGCCATCGTATTTATCTTACTGCAAATTCTACAAACACATTCTACAAGCCTACGAAGATCTACAGCTAGTCCTCGATTTACGATCCCAATTGAACCCATAGTTTATGTTGCTAAGTGAAACTTTTGTTAAGTGAGTTTTGCCCCATTTTATGTCCTACCTTACCACAGTTGTTAAGTTAGTAAAGCGGTTGTTAAGTGAATCTGGCTTCTCCATTGACTGTGCTTATCAGAAAGTCACAAAAGGGGATCACATGACCCCGGGACACTGCAATTTGTCATAAATATGAGTCAGCTGCCAAGCTTCTAAATTCTGATTCTGTGACCAAGGGGACGCTGTAAAGGTCGTGAAGTGTGAAAAACAGTCATAAGTCAGTTTTTTCAGGGCCTTTGTAACTTTGAACAGTCACGAAATGAACTGTTGTAAGTGAAGGATTGCTTCTATCTAGAAGAATGATCCAGTGAAACTTACTCCTAATTAAATATACAGATCGTCTTTGTTTAACAACGGTTTGTTAAGCAACTATTTCAAATTATAGTAGCATTGAAAGAATGGTGGTTACAGCCAGTCCTCAAAGATACAGTCGTTAAAGCACCTTCATGGTCATGTGGGGCCGGGCAGCCCATCCACATTTATAAACAACCGCAGCATGTACTTCAACTCGCTCCCCACATATCTTCCCTCCCCCATCTCGGCTCCTTTGGCTTTCTCGCATTCTACCATCACCTACTTCTACCACCCTCAGCTGACCCTCACCATCATCTTCCTCCCGGCTATTGAGGTGCACCTGGCTGAGGCACCCGCTGACTCTTCAAGTTTTCATGAAGGGCCGGCAGCTGCCTCAGCACCTCAATCAGCCACAGGAGGAAAAAGATGGCCAAGAGTAGAGTGCAGAGTGACCCTAAGGGCAGAGACCGGCGCTTCCATAGGCGAGCCGGATGTTGAATGGAGGCAAGTACAGCAGGGCAGGCGAAAAGCATGAGGTCCTCACTTAACAACAACAGGGTCCTCACCTAACAACCACTGCCAGAACTGTCGGTGCGTTCACATGACGTTTCACCTAACAGTCATTCTGCTTAGGGATGGAAATTCTGGCTCCAATTAGGATCGTTAAGCGAGGACGACCTGGGCAGAATTGCAATGCCAGAAATTACAGCCTCTTCCTCCACTTACCTTGAGCCAAAACTGAGAGAGGATAGAAAGGAATCCACAGCGAATGGTAGAGCCAAGCTAGTCCTTGAAAGTATATCCCGGTCTCCGATAATATGCAGTACGTGTATCTAGAAGGAAAACCAGGACAGGGGAGTGGCGTCATGCATGCCATGTTATCAAATAAATAACACATATGGTATTGTTATTATGATTAATACTGGTTTTTTATGGGACAGATGAATCCCAAGCAGCCTTCATAACCCAGGTTCCCTGCAGTTGTGTTATAACTGCCATTGTTCCAACTTAGAAGAAATGATCAAATGATTATATTTGAATCTTGGTCAAGAGGATGTATGTATGTATGTATGTATGTATGTATGTATGTATGTATGTATGTATTTGATTTCTAATAACCACCCATCTCAACAAGTAATTCTGGGCGGCATACTTCATAAGTCATAAGAACAATTAAAACTATTAGATCAATTAAAAATACTGCTACAAAATAAATATATTTGGCACCAAAGAAAGCTGCTATTATGGATTTTAATGCAACCAAGAAACAGAGCCCATTACACACTCGAGGCCCCAGGCTCAGGAGTACAACCCTATCTACACAACCTTAGGAAAGGCCAACATTGTTGGACTTATCTGGATATCAAAGGAAGAATACTGCAGAAGGCTGGGACCTACGACAGAGAAGGGCCTGTAGTTGTGTGACGTAAGCCCTTCAGTCAATTAAGTTATTTACTCACCCAAAGGCTGACATTCCAAGGCAGATGGGAACCTGTAGCATCTCCAACCCGCCTGCCCGAATTGAATAGGTAAAAACAGATTTGGGAAGGATGATGTGATTGGTCAACTCTTTTAACATTTGCTAGTTTTCATAGAAATCAGAATTAATCAGCAGCGACCTTCTGGTTTTTATTTTTTTTATTGGCTCCAATAAACTGCAGGAAACTCAAGAAACTAGTTTGCTTACATTTTTGCTCACTGAATCATACAATGTTTTTGTGTTGCCTCAGTTCTCAGGAATTAACAGAGTCTAAAGCAACCTATTTCATTAATAATGTGTTTGCAGTATTCGGATGTTCTGGGTATTCTGATATTATCAAAATCTTGGATTCTAATATTCTGGTTATTGCTTTCTATTGATAATAGAAAGCAAAAGAAGACAATATGCGGATCTACAGCTAGAGGTTGATTGTTTTTGATAAGAGAACGCACATCCTTATCTTCTGAGCTATGTTGCAAAGAAAGCCTCCCAGATAATAACAGTGAATACCATGCAGGGAAGATAAATATTGGAAACTTCTTGGCTGTGTTTCCACAGGAGTGGCATTAAATTCTCACCTGATGACATCAATGCAACTCCAAAGGAAAAATAAGACACATACAATGCCTTTCCCTTGAACCTCTTCTTGACTTGCTATTGCAACAAATAAGATGATAATTCTTTCTGTGATCTGGAAAAAGTAAGACAGTTTATTCCTCAACTCGTTCTCTTGGGACTGTTAGTGTGATAAAAGCAGCCAGAAAGAGATACTATTTTCAATTATGGTAAAGGCTGCATCATAAAAGACAAGTGGCCTGTAGTTGTGTGACATAAGCCCTTCAGTCAATTAAATTATTTACTCACTCTAATTTTCTGGGTTTGACATATTAATAAGTACGGAAGCAGAATTCACACACTACGTTATATTAAAAGATGTTTGTCTAATCAGAATATTATGTAAGTACAGCTGCAGCATTGGATGCACTAAATACTAAGACAATAAAACACACTTTTAGTTTTGTCATTAAATGCTTCTGCTATCTTAACTTAGGAAACACTGTACTGTAGTTTTGCAAAGTAGATTATTATTCACTAATAAGTAGCAATATTTGCCCGCTCACTAGATTTCCAAACAATGCGGTTGAGATAAAAAAAATGTGTAGCAGGTTTGCAGAACCTTGAGTATATGAATACACTGTGAAGGTGAGTTATTTTGCGCAAACCAGAATTAAGTTTAGTTACAGATTAGAAGTGGGGTGAAACCCTAGTCTTTAAGCATATGCAGGTAATCCTTGTTTTAATTGCTTGGTTTAGCAACTTTTCAGTTAAGACGGTGATGAAAAAGTAACTTTGCAGCCAGTTCTCATGTTTATGATTGTCATAGGTCTGTAAAGTAAAGGAAAGATGAAATAAGATCATAAAATCATGATCTTTCACTTAGCAATCACTTCATTAGAATAAGCATTAACAAAGAGCAGGGAGTGAAGAAAAGGAAAGCGCAATTGAGGACGTGTGATTTCCCAGTTAGTTTCGTATAACGACAGTCACCAGTCCCAATTGTAGACAAGGACTACCTCTAGATAATTTTTTGAAATTGTGCATTTTCATATTTATTTTGTTGGTTTTCATTTTTTTAAAAAAATGAAGTTCAAAATCCAAATTCCATATCCTGTTTTCTATAATCAGATGTCAGAAACAGAAAACTCGTGCCACTATTTTATAAATGTATGCAAAGATGCTTCTTTGTCCTATTTTGTACTATTGTTTTTCCTTTTTTGTACTATTGTTCTTGAGTTCTCTCTATCTTTATATCCTATTTCCCAATTTTTTAGCAGACATTCAGGTTTCTGAGGTGGCTGAGTCAGTGCAACAGCAGATACTAACTCAATTAATAGCCCACTATTAAAACTAAAATTACAAATATATAGTGTGTTTCAAAATCCCAACTTGGTTAGGAAATTCTGTTCACATTCTGTTCTAGCGAGAAAGATTTTCATCTCTAGCCTTCCCATCTCCCCACGCCCATGAAAAATGCAATTTATTCAATATGTGTCATGTCCAGACACAATTCTAATCTGATTAACCCACAAAGATTGCATTTTTAAAAGGGGTGATGGCAGAAACCAAGAATGCAGGTTACAGTTCACCTTCAATTATGGAAAGTCACAGGGAGACTTTAGATCAGTCAGTATCTAATAGCCTAATCAACACTACAAACTTCTGGAGAAAAAAACTGGAATTGGGAATATGATATATCCTGTCTTGAATTACTGAACAAAAATGTTCAGTGTTATAATCCTTGCTTGCTGACCGCTAATTTGATGACTGTTAGAAGTTATAATAGCACTGAGTGAGTGATATTCATTCATTACATACTCAGATCATATACACAGTTTATGCAAGAAAACCACACAAGCTTATTATAAACAATGGCACCGCACAGTCATCAAAATGGTTCACTGGAACATCTGTTGAAGTAATCATTTGCCAATAATGAAAAAGTGGTGAGAATACATAGTTGAAAAAGTAGTAAAAATGACCAGGTTAAAATAGTGTGAGATTCTGAATACAAATGGATAAGGTCTTGGCTCATAATACACAAGATTTAACTGTGGTTGAAAAAAAAAAGTGGGTAATTGATGTGGCAATACCAAGGGATGGTAGACTAGAAGGCAAAGAATTTGAGAAGATCACAGAGTACCAAGATCTGAACATCAAAGTTAAAAGATTATGGCATACAGCAGTCCCAGTGGGTGCCATATTGTACTTAGAAAATCTACCTATTAACAAAATTTCCATTTGTCAATTACAAAAGATCACACTGCTAGCTCCGCATGTAAGGACTGGAAAAATAATGACAATGAATCATGGCTTCATCCACGCAGGAACATTGACAGACTCTACATGCCATGAAATATAGGTGAGAATGGAAAGTTGCAACAGTTGAAGAAACAAACAGTTGAAGAAGAAAAAAGGAGGGGCATTGGAAGAATATCTGAAGGACATTGAGGGAAACGCATGGAAGTTGGTATGCTACAAAGGCTTACTGAGTACTGGAGAGACCAAACTGTCCTACAAGAAAGACCAAATGAAAAAAACAGGAAAGAGACATGGCAAGGCAAAGTATTACATGGCCAGTATATTTTAAAAAAATAGCAGTCAAAGCATATAACCTGACAATGACTAAGAGCTGGAAAATTGAAGAAAGAGACAGAGTCTGATCTTGACTGCACAAGATCAAGCCTTACGAACCAAATGCTTCAAAACCTAAATTGAGAAGACAACCACAGACAGCAAATGCCACCTCTGAAAAGAAGCTGAAGAAATAGGGGACCACCTAGTTAGCTGCTGCAAGAAGATCTCACGGTCTGATTGCAAACAACAGCATGACAAAATAGCAACAATGGTGCATTAAAATAGCTGCAAGATATACCATTTGCCAACAAGCAAGAACTGGTGAGACCACAAAATAGACAAAGTCACAGAAAGTGAAATCAAAATGCCGAATCCCGTTTAAACATGTGGCTGGCTGTGTAACCAACCACAACATAATAATAATAATATCTTGCACACATTCCTTTTTTGTACAGGGATAGAATTAGCGTATCCACGTAAAGCCAGTTTTTATCTTTAAGTACAACTGTCTCAAGCAGCCGATCCTAAATCCAAGAAGTATCAAAGAATTGGAAGGCAAAGCATTGAGCTCCCTAACTAGTTTTCCACTCTCACCCACAAATGAGAAACCATAGTTCAGCAGCAACAGTGCCAAAATAAATCGAACTGCTGGGCTAGTCAGTTCTTATATATGAAAGGAGAACAACATCTTGCTCTTGATCTCAGGTGTGAAATGACTTGAAGACTCTAATCTTCAAATTTCCCGCCTAAGTCAAGCAACAAAGTACATTCATATAGCACAACTTACAATAAATTTGAGAGAATATTTGTGCACATACTTCGAACATGTTCAAGGCAATACCTTTCAAGCTACTGAATCAAGTTCTTGTGAGGAAGAGAAGTTTTAAAGATGCTAATCTATTGTTAAATTATATTCCAAAAATCTGGAAATTGTATATGAAAACCTCTGGATTAATTTTGCCTTGACTGTTGAAAGAAAAAATGCTCATAGGAAGGACACACCAGACTCTTAAAGATTGGCCCAATCAAATTTATATAATTCTCAACTTCTGAATCATATTTGTATTCCTGAAGGCAAGTTCAGATAATATGATATCATATGATCTCATATTAATTTGCTACTTATTTTTTTTAATGATTTGCATAAGCATGTTTTTCTTCTTTTGTTATGGTCAAAAAGTACATTTATTTCATCTAAGATGAAAGGAAAAGCAGAGGAAAGGTTTGAACTAGAAATGATTGGCACTGTACACCTGTTGCCTATTTAATACTGTGACAATTTGATATCATTTTTATATTGCCTAAATATTGTCACGTAAATATAGGAAACATGATTATGATACACTTGGAGTTGATAGACTGGAGTTGATAGACTGAGTCCAAACATTATGTCAGAAATAGCCAACTTCTGCCCTGTGTATGTTTTGAATTCCGAGTCCAATAAGGAATTGCTATTTGTCATCATAGCCATATACTAATAGGAATTTGAATTCAAAATAACTGGGGGGCATTACCTATCCCTGTATTAGAGGATGGTTTCTTCAGTTTTAATGATTAAAAAATGATGCATGTTTAGTTTATAGAGAACGTATTGACGATGGAAAATGGCAACTTTTATAAAATTTGCTAAAACCTTGATTGTCTTCTGATCGTATTTCTCACCTGTATTAAGTTTTCTTCCAAAACTCTGATCCACTGTGAACTGAGCACTTTTATTACCCATGTTTTTAACCCATTAAAATGGTATCCAGAATTCAGACCTAAAACCAGTTCATGTTCATGTTAAGTTCTCTATTATTATGCATTCTAGTAAAAAAGGGATTGTGTGTGGGATATAGGCAGAGAAAAATATTTAACAGTGCTATCCCAAAAATTGTCAAAAGTAAATCTCATAGAGTTCAAAAATTATGTTCCCCAGGTAAATAATTAAAAATTTAGAATTACCTACCTATGTACTGAATAGGTCATCCCACAATGCATCTTTCTAGTGTAATCTAAGTAGACATCTATAAGATTGTATTGTCAATCTCACTAAGTTTAGTGTGTGTTACTTGGGAGTAAACACCTTCTAACTTAGCATTATATTTTTCACGGCCATTCTTTATACCCAGGGCATAATCAGAAGTCTAGGCTGAAATGTAAGCTGACAATCTTCCCACTCAAGAAAAGCAGCATCTTCTAAAATTATTTTTAAAATGCCATTATCTTGTGCATTTGTGGGGCGTACTGATTATCCTATCATTCATATTTATCCTACAAATTCATTTTCTCAAATTCAAATTCTGTTGGAGAAATGCAAACAAACAAACAAACACTACCTTCATTCTAGTTGATTTCTTTCTGTCCCTTTCCTTTCGAGTGATTAGTTAACCCATTTTTCTATTTAAAAAAAAATATTCCAAATTCTGTTCTTTAACTTAATGCCCTTTTCCTTCTGCATGGGTCTTTTGAGATTCAAAATCGACTGTTTTGCAAAACAACCATTTTCTGAAGGCTGCTTTGATTTGATTGGGGCAGACGTGGCAACCTGTGGCCTTTAGGGCCATATGTGTTTCCCTTAACTTAATTGTATGCAGCTATGGGCATCTAGTCAATTAGGACCTCTATTAAAAGGAACTATAACCTCCGGGCAGCCTGATGCTTGACAGAAAAAAGCCATAAGAGGAAGACAACCATAATTTCACAGTGTTAGATCCATTGTTCTTCATTCATTTTTGCTCAGATAATGGTTATTGGAATGGATATCTTATGTGTTCCTTTCTGGTAGGCTTTGATAACTGTAATTAAACTGTGTGTTATTTAGCCAGGACTTTCAGGATAATTTGAAGGTATACACAATAACCAGTGGCTTATTGTAGTAGTGACCAAAGTCTTTGTATAAAGCCATTGTACAGGTAGTCCTCAATTTACAGCCACAATTGAGCCCAAAATTTATGTTGCTAACCGAGACATTTGGTAAGTGACTTTTGTCCCATTTTATCATTTTTCTTGCCACATTTGTTAAGTGAATCACTGCAGTTGTTAAATTAGTAACACAGTTGTTAATGAATCTGGTTTCTCCATGGACTCTGCTTGCCAGTGAAGGAGATCACATGACTCTGGGACACGACAAACGTCATAAATCTGAGTCAGCTGTCAAGCATCCAAATGTAAGTCACATGACCACTGGGATGCTGCAATGGTCATAACTGTGAAAAACAGTCATAAGTCACTTTTTTCAAAACCATTATAACATTCACACGATCACTAAACAATATAAGTCGAGGATTACCTGTATCTATATGATTCAAAACATCTGAATATTAGCTACACAGACTGATTGATTTGGCTCTAGTATGATAATGTGATCATAAGCTACATATAAATTTAATACATAAATAAATAAAGAGGCAGGGTGTAAGGTTGGCGAGAACAAGATCTGAAACACTAAAAAGATACGATGAAAACTAGATTCCAGGAACATCTGGAGGAAGTAAAGATTCCCCTTTCTGATCCAAGGACAGGAGCTAAACTTAGAAGATGTGTAACCTGAAACTCATATGCAGCCAGCACTTACATGCTTTTGAAAGGGGAAACACCCAATCATCCCATTTGGATATGAGGTTTGAATGAATAATATTCACATCTGGATTCCTAGATAAGTTCACTATTTTTAGAGTGATTGAAATCACTTCAATTATTTTTTTTCCACATAGTAATGAAAACAAAGCCAACACCTCCTAATTCCTTCAGTTAGAGGCAACATAAACCTCAGGTGTGAAAATTATCAGAGGCAACTTTCAACCTCGGAGGCACACACAGATAGGTTTGCTTTCCTATGGTGTAATTAAGTCACGTGTGAACTTTCTCTCATTGATTTTCCAAGTTGGGTTTATTCAGTTTCATCACAAGTATTTGCTGTGGGATTTTCAGGGACAGTAAGAATAACCAAAGGAGACTGAATTCCAAATATCGAAATCCTAATCTTGAATATGATGATCGTTTGCCATACCTGTAAGAATCTTGGGAAAAACTGTTCCTTCTCAATGCCAAACCAAATATGCAGGAGCTCTAGTATCGATGCTAGCTGGCAAATACGCATCACAAGTCCAATAGAATGGAAAGTGTCTGCAACAGAATCTACAGATGCAAAAGGAAAAATAGGAAAGGCTGATTTAAATTTTTAGGACACTCCCTTTGCCACATTCTTCCCTCTTCCCACTGACCTTCAAGAAAACAGGATGTTAATACTTGTCTACTTTTTAAAACCGGCATTAAAGATTTTTGAAGATTTCCTGTACATATATAAATAATAATTCCAGAAGATTTGGATGTTTTTGTCTCTGTGTATGTTTTGGCACAGAGCATACTGTGCAAATTTTTTTCCACAAGATTTTCAAAGGGGAATAGATCAAATGTGGCAATCATGTCTGTGGAACATGGGCCCGTAGAATACGTGACATTTAATTTGGTGAGGGTATGAAAAGTTATTTCACAACCAAATTTATGAATTAAATTTCCAGGAAATTTTAACTTGAATTATTCTCCTTCTTAAAAAAGGGCTAACTTCTATTCTCTCTCTTTTTTCATTGGATAACAAATCATTGTGTTAATCTACCAGCAATTTTCTGCAAGTATGTAGTTACATTTATGCTGCTGTGCGTTCTAATCTAGTTCAGTTTTACATAGGCTATATTCATGCAAGATCGATTAAAATAATAGGTCATTATTCAATATAGTTCTTTTTGCTGGACTTGATTTATTGCTATATCAATATGTGATTATAGACTGATCATGTCCTCTTCATTTTCAGATGCAAAATGTAAGGCTTTCCTCAGAGTAATAAGTTCCACATGTTCTAAAAATGGGCTCAAAGCTTTTCCAGTGCGATTAAATGCAATAAGATTTTCAGATCCTGGGTCTCCCAGCAATTGTTGTTCACTGGGGCTTTTAATCCATTTGATTAATGTGCATTTAATGTAATTTAGTCATGATTTACTTAAGCTGGATTAGGCTGATGTCATTTCTGTTATATAGGAAGTGACCAGTCAGTTATAATTACTTGCAACCTCACTCTTTCCCCAATATTCTTAATCAACTTTGATCAGATGATTAAACTAAATGGTTTGGGCATATGCAATGTGTTAGGAATTAAAAGGTTAAAAGAAAGTCCCTAGATGATTAATTGTTGAGTTTTACTGGAATAACTATACTAATTGCTTCAGAATTGCATAAGCTTGCACATGCAGAAAACTTGAGCTTTAAAGAAAAAAAGCTAACTTAATCTTCATTAACAACTTAGATGAGGGAATAGAAGGAGAACTTACCAAATTTGCAGATGATACTAAGCTGGCAGGAATAGCTAACACCCAAGAAGATATGCTCAAGATCCAGATGGATCTTGACAGACTAGAACACTGGGCCGTATCTAACAAAATGAATTTCAATATAGACAAAAGTAAAGTCCTACACTTAGGCAAGAAAAACCAAAAGTACACATATAGACTGGGTGAAACCAGGCTCAATAGCAGTAACTGTGAGAGGGATCTTGGAGTTTTAGTGGACAACCAGCTAAATATGAGCCAGCAGTGTGCAGCCACCGCCAAAAAAGCTAATGCAATCCTAAGTTGTATTAACAGAGGGATATAGTCAAGATCAAGGGAAGTACTAATACCCCTCTATAAAGCCTTAGTCAGACCACACCTAGAGTACTGCATCCAGTTTTGGTCACCACATTATAAAAAAGATGTTGAGGCTCTAGAAAAAGTACAGAGAAGAGCAACCAGGATGATTAGGGGACTGGAGGCTAAAACATATGAAGAACAGTTACAGGAACTGGGCTTGGTTGGTCTAGTGAAGAGAAGGACCAGGGGAGACATGATAGCAGTCTTCCAATATTTGAGGGGCTGCCACAGAGAGGAAGGGGCCAATCTATTTTCTAAAGCACCTGTAGGCCAGGCAAGAAATAATGGATAGAAACTGAACAAGGAGAGATTTAACCTGGAAATAAGGAGAAACTTTCTGACAGTGAGAACAATCAACCAATGGAGCAACTTGCCCTCGGAAGTTGTGGGAGCGCCATCACTTGAGACTTTCAAGAAGAGCTTGGACTGCCATTTGTCAGAAATGGTGTAAGGTCTCCCGCTTGGGCAGGGGGTTGGACTAGATGACCTATAAGGTCACTCCCAACTCTGATTATCTGTAACCTGTAATCTTGCTAAAAGTCAACTGTAATTGGGAGATATCAAGCCTGCTTGGATCTTCTCATATTGAATAATAATGTTACTAAAATAACACCATATACACACAAGGATAAGATATTAGGGGACTTGGGGGATCCTAACACTGAAAAGGGAATAAAAAGTACAAAAACAAAACATGTACGAGAACTTCCTTCTATCAATCCTTGTGTAATTAAGACTGATCATTGTCAATGAATATATCCTGCAAAAGTATGGGGACAATTTGTTTTTTTAAAATCTCATTTCCATTCAGAATCACCTAGAAAAAGGCCCAGGTTTGGGTCACTGAAATTGTCAAAAGTAACACACACACACACAAACACACACACTACTTATGCTGAGCCCATACAAATGGAATAATTGTACTATATTAACCAGCTTGTTGACTCACACAGCGAGCTACTTCTCTAGTTAACTCTTTTTCAAACTGTAGGTCATAATAACCAAGGAGGTTATAAGCAACTTATAGAGCAGTTTTCTATCTATCTATCTATCTATCTATCTATCTATCTATCTATCTATCT